CCTCATTTGCTTATTAAGTGAGATAAATGGTCTGGTGTATAAGTGTCAATAAATATTATATATACCTATTATACATTGATATTACAATTATCAGCATTATCATCTTGTTATTTTCAGGACTTATCAATAATTATAAACAAAAATGTCCATCATATATTAAGAAGCAGCATGCATAAGTACATTTGTATCCACATGAAATCTCCAAGACATGTGAGCAAAATCATATAAAATGGTTAAATTGTTTCCATTTATATAACAATTTGTGTATGTGTCTGTGTATTTGTTTGCAAGGGGGACGAGAAAAAAATAAATATGTGTTTTATAAAGGTCTAAAAGATACCAAGCTGTTAAGTATGCCTAAAGTATTGGAACAAAAGGGAAAAGTGAAAAGACACACTTTCACTGTGAGTCATTCTGTATTGCCTGGATTTTGATCTTTCTGAACAGCTAACAGAAGCTGCAATGTTCCTTACAAAACCCACGAACTTGACTTATCTGAAACCATAACAGTTGGACCATATGACTTCAGTCAACTCTAACCAATGTGGTCATCTAGTTTTTCAGATTAGAAATGAAAGAAGATAATGTATAATCTAGATTCTGCACACCACTTAGGATATCAGAGATTTATATCTATCTTTTTAATGGGATTGTATTTTTTTTAATGGGGTTGCTGAAGGTTTCTAGAAAATCATTTTATTGCTAAAAATGGCAGATTAATGAAGCATTTCTGAACAAAAGTATTTCATCTTACTCTGATGAAAGAACTCTTCATTTGAGAAACCTATAATACTTTTACATTCTTCGATTAATACCATACATATAAAGTGAAAGTATCACTCAGTCATATCTGACTCTTTGCATATAATTAACATATTAATATTTCATCCTCACAATAACCCTATGAGGTAGCAACTACTATTTCACTGCTGTGGAAACAGGAGAAAGTGCCATAGGCCAGTCAGCTGGGACCTAAACCCACCACTCATCTCAGTCTATGCTCATCGACTACTCCGCTGTGCTGGTCGGGCCCTAAGCATACACTGAGCCTGCTGTCCTTTGCTTAGTCAGTCATGTCCAACTCTTTGTGACCCCATGGACTGCAGCCCGCCAGGCTCTTCTGTCCATGGGACTCTCTAGGCAAGAATACTGGAGTGGATTGCCCATTCCCTTCTCCAGGGGATCTTCCCAACCCAGAGATCAAACCCAGGTCTCCCATGTTGCAGGCACATTCTTTACCATCTGAACCACCAGGAAAGCCCGTTATTAGTGATATGCTGACACAAGAGAATTCTCTAAAAAGATCTTCTGTTGTAAGGATAGTGCTCACATCCTTTCAGCACAAGGCCTCCTGACAGTGACTCAAAGCTCACCTCCTCTGCCCCTGTTCCTATATGTTTTTAGTTAACAAAAGAGACTGGAAGTTCTGTTCAATGAACAATACTACTAAACTAAAATCTAACCGTAATGATGTCCATTGATTTCACAAGATTAAATTCAGTACAATAAATAACCTGATTATCACTCTGGATCTTAATACTGTTCTCTGTCTTATGCTCTCCACCACTTAAGTGAACAGACAGATCAATTGTATGGCTATAAAATAATACATACTTTAAAAACACATACAAAATGTCTTACTATCTCACACTATGCAAATATCAAGTTTTTCATCTATATAAACTTAAAGCTATGGTGTTCACTTTGGTGAGAGACAACAGAACAACGTAGCAATGCTGATTTTTTTCAGTTACATAAGTACATGAAATACGGCACTTGTAAGAAGTCACCTTTCTTGGTCCCCTGGTATTTCTCTAAGGCAGTGTTTCTCAAACAGATAGTGGAACCTCTAAACTGCCTATATCAAACTGCCCAGGACCTTGCAAAAAATGCAGATTTCTCAGTTACCAAGCCACTGATGCAGAATCTCTAAGGGAGGGGATCTGGGGTCCTAGGATCACTCTTAAAGAAGCTGTGATCAAAATCTTTTTTTTCTATAGTCTTAATCCTAAAAGTAAAATCCACAAAATGTTAAGTGGATTTAAAGTGGATTTAATTTTCAAGTTGCACAAATGACATTTTAAAATATAGGGGGAAGGCAGTACCCTAAATCAAGAAATAAAATGTATTAAAAAAAATTTTTTTAATGTTTTAGTATCACTGCATGGCATGTAGGATCTTAGTTTCCCAATCAGGGATTGAATCCGTGCCCCTGGCAGTGGAAGCTTGGAGTCTTAACCACTGTACCTCCAAGGAAGACCCTAAAATGTATTTTCAGAGCACTCTTAACCTTGCATTATGTATCATTTTGGTAAAGCATAATATCATGGTGAGAGTATACAGTAAAGTAGAATAGAAACTGTAGTTAATAACTTGTAAGCAAAACCAAAGTATATTAATTAATCACAGAGTTTTACAGTCTAGGGGCTAAAAAATCAACATAAAGATTGAATTAATAAAACACCTGGAAATTCCATGTGTAAAAATCATTTAGCACTTTTTAATCCCTTAAAAAGATCAATGTTCATGTGTCATACCAAGGCATATTAATTAGGTTAAAAAAAAATCCCAATGCCACATTTCAAAGCCAAACTCCAGTGAATTAGACCAAAAAGACCTATGTGTTACTCTGCAACCAAAATATGAAAAAACAAATCACCTAAAACATCAAAGTTAGTATCACCAGTAAATGGGACAAATCAATATTCCTGTGGAAGAGTGCATAAATTAAAGCTAGTCATGAGGAAATATCAAACAAACCCAAACTAAGAGACTTTCTCCAAAACAACTATCCTGTACTGATGAAAATGTTAAAACCATGAAATGAAGAAAAACCAAGGAATCATTCCAGACAAGAAGAGATGACAACTAAAAGAGTGCCTGAGCCTGGATGGGCTCTTGACCCAGAACATATGATCAGAACTTCCCTCTTGGTATTTGAAGGACTTCCCCGGTGGCTCTGACGGACAAGAATTCGCCTGCAGTGAAAGAGACCCAGGTTCAATCCCTGGGTTGGGAAGAACCCCTGGAGAAGGAAATGGCAACTCACTCCACTATTCTTGCCTGGAGAACCCCATGGACAGAGGAGCCTAGGAGGCTCCATGGGGATGCAAAGAGTCAGACACAACTAAAACGACTTCACTTTCACTTCATAATTTAGATAGTCTATCAGTTTTAATTTCCTCATTTGGGTCATCGTATTGTGGCTGTTTAAGAAAATGCCCTGGTTCTTAAGATCATACACTGAAGAAATGGTTCACAAAATATTTCAAATAGATAGAATGTTACAGCAAAATCACAAAATGTTAACAAGTAGGGATTCAAGTGAAGACTAGCATTCTTGCAACTTTCTTGTAAGTTTGAAATTCTTTCAAAACAAAAAGTGAACCATATATTTTTAAAAGCTGGAAAAGGAACACTAGAAAAAAATATAAAATTTTAAGAACATATTTTTAAGCTTTCAGTCTAGAGGAACAACAAATGTCTATCTGTTTCATAAATTTAGACTAAACAAACTGAATTTTCAATTTCATTTCATGCCTTCATATTGGAAATTACAAAACTATGTTGTTCTTTTTATCATATGTATGTGTATATTCCAGATCTATGTGTATATTGATGGAAAATACGTCTACATTTTACACATTCATTTAAATCTTGCTTCTTACAGTTATTCCTTCAGTGTTGCACCTTGATGATTTAACAGTTGCATATCTGTAAGGGTTTGAAAATAAATTTAAACCAGAATATTACCTATTTAATGGCAGTCTGATACACTTATACAGGTGAGAACCTTGCCACATCTGGATGGGGAGAAAGGATACATATATATGCATGGCTGAGTCCCTCTGCTGTCCGTCTGAAACTATCACAACCTAGTTAATCAGCTATACTTTAACATACATAAAAAGTTTTTTAAAAAGTCAATAAGCTGCCACATCAGGCTACCTATGCACTCAACTTCGTTAAAGCACAGGTAATCATTTCACACTGTGATTTTCTAACCAATCTGACCTAGTAATTATGTCAGAAGTTCACTATGTATGTTGGATAGACAGATGTATGCTAGGAGGAAGATGTTAATTCCCTAAAACAGTCCTTGGCAAACAATGCGCACAAATATTCTTAGGGGCAGAGAGGAGGGGAAGGGATTATTGCACAATCTTAAATCACTTTTGTAATATATCACCAGAAACCATGAGATAGTGGCATAATAATTAGATGCTTAATAATCTGAAGATGTAATGTTTCTGAGACTCTACAGATGTCAAAGAACAAAAACCTTCGGTGAAAAGTGACTTTTTAACATTAACTATTTAATATTTATTTTGGCATTTTTCATTAAGTTATAACTATTAGGGAAACTGCTTTATTAATATCAAACTGAGGTACTTCCCTGGCAGTCCAATGGTTAAGAATCTGTGTGGAATCTGTGCTTCCACTACAGGGGACGCAGGTTCGATCCCTGGTTGGGGAACTAAGATCCCACGTGACACATAGTATAGCCAAAGAACAACAATTAACAAAAATAACAAATTGAAAACCATGAAATGTTAAAAAAAAAAAAAGACTGTGGATAATTTTTTAAATGCATATTGTATCTATTATTGTGTGATAAACTATAAAGCTATGAAAAATTTAAAACTAGAATTGTAAGGAATGTCAAATCCCATTGGAAGTTGCTAGCATCAAAATTTCTTGGTACATGGTTTGTCAAATCCAAAATCTTCAGGACTGAATTCAAAATCTATTTGACTCAAGCCTGATGTGCATACTCAAAGGAATGTTTTAGTGGCTTTGGGAGATTTTCTAAAGATTCTATCACAGGAGACAAGTGCAAAGGACTTTCAAATATTTCTCCTTGCTGCAATCAAATTACCATTTAAGCACTCTATTTTCTACACAAAAGATGGATGAGAATTAGCTGAAATAAAAGTTCCCAAAGATAAACTAAATCTAAAGTTTAGGCATACTTTGAGCATATTAACATAGTCTCTGAATAGTCTGATGTATTGCATTTTTATTAAAGTTGATCACAATTTCTACTTCAAGATATTCCATCACTTAAAGGGGAAAAAAGAGCATGAAATCTGCTGGTTAGGCATACAAGGTGAATTAATGCAAATTTTAGGAAGAAGACTGAAAATACTTTTCATAAGACAGGCATCTAATTGGATAAACATGTGAACTTCTTGTACTATGTTACCAAAGGGGAAAAGTCTCTGAAAATTTCTTCCATATAAAAATTCAAGATAAAAACAATCAAAGTCAAATAAATACAGAATGAATGTCAGCATTTTTGAAAATTAGTAACCTAATATTACAGAGAAAATATTAAAATGTAATAAAAGAAATAGCACCTTTTAAAAATCAAGTTATCTAAGATGTAAGTCTGCAAAACTATTCTGAACTACAAATTTCCAGATGAAATCATTTGAAGAGGAAGTGATAACACAAAACAAGCAATTCTGAAAAGTGAAAAGTTACATGTCGACTGTAAATGGAAACAATACAGAACAATTAAAGCCAAAATTATACCTACACATCTATAGCAAGCAAAAAATTCCTTTTCTTTTAAAGTCACATATTTAAAATCCTCTTTAAAACAGGTCAGGAAAGCAATATATCTTAATATTAGAGGGGAAAATTTTAAAGGCTATACTTAAGAATAAAAGCATGATTAGATTATCTTCAGTGTATCTTTCTATTAAACATGTGAACAGAAGCTTTATTATAAGACTTTTACTGGTCAACAAAATTCAGAATAAAATAAGTCTATTTCAGATCATATCCTAAAATTTCTGTTACCTAAGTACCACAAAGGTGTATCACAGGATGAATTTTATTAGATGATCCCACAGTGTAGAGCAGCCTTTTCCAGCCAGAGTTCTCAATGTAACAGACCCCGTGTGACCATCAACCTCAATAATCTCATTTTCCTTCTTACAAGTGAAACTAGGTATACACTTATATTCTTTCTAATCTGTTAAAATCCTTACAGTTGGAAAGGTTGACCTTGGGTAGTCAGTTCAAATGAAAATAAATGTGCTTAGCAGTAATTTCAATGGCCTAAACACATTTCTAAAGACTATTTTCCAACTGTGACATTTTCTTGAATATTTTTGACTTTTATATGGCTACTTTATCTAAATCAAAAGATTTATCCTAGCAAATTATGTCCACATTTCCAAAAACTGTTATTAATCAAAAATGTTACCTGTTATACTTCAGAGAAATAGACCCTGGGTTCAAGAAATGCCAATACATTATTAACAAGTTATTATAATTCTGTATTTAGTTTCATTTATAAATATCACACAAATATCACTGGCAGGCATCATAACTTTAAATCATTAAACTAATTTTTAAATATTGATGTAAAAAGCTTTGAACCTATGTAGCAAAAATTACTTAGTGAAACTTAAAAACTACTGAAGCTTTTCCCCCACTCCACCCCAGGTAATATACCCAATTATTTTTTTTGATGATCATCACCTACCCAGGAGTTTATATTAAATACTTGCATAGTTCTTGTAGCAAATGGAGCAGCACAATCTGAAGACAAATATTGGCAAATACAACGTGCCCCAAGTTATAGTTTAAGAAATAATACAACCCGCAATATTTATCAAGTTGTTTATTCTTGTTATTAAAACTTGGACTCAAGTAATCCTGGTTATTCTGGAAAAAGCACCTTGTTGTGGGGATCATTTAATCATCCTTTTCAACAATCACCTCTCCATGAAGCACCTTTCTTCTCTGACGTAACATATGAAAGTAGAGTTGTGGAAACACTTAATGGAGAAAAGAAAACAAGAAGGTAAGTTTTTGTTGGAAATGCTTTATACTTACAGCCTCTCAAATATGGTGATCTTTGAGAGCAAGCCTGTCATGCACCATGGCTACTGCCCTAATCATTACAGGCCTCAGAGTAAGGGTGCAAATGGAGGCTCCTATACCATATGCCTAAATGTTTTAATGCCATAAACTGTCAGTTTTTTTTAGCAAACTTAAATATTTTCTTAAATATATCTTTATAATGACCTGGAAGGCCATGTTTGAATTGAGAACTCTATAACTCTGGATGGACCTAGAGACTGTCATACAGGGGGAAGTAATTCAGAAAGAGAAAAACAAATATCATACATTAACACATATATGTGCAATCTAGAAAAATGGTGCAAGTGAACCTATTTGCAAAGTAGAAACTGAGACACAGACAGAGAGAACAAACATGGACACCAAGCGGGGGGGAAGCGGGTGTGGGATGAATCGGGAGACTGGGATGGACATGTATACCCTACTCTGTATAAAACAGGTAATTAATGAGAACCAACTGTATAGCACAAGGAACTCTCCTCAATGCTCTGTGATGACAAAGAGGGGATATGTGCATATGTATAGCTGATTCACCTTGCTGATCAGCAGAAACACAACACTGTAAAGCAACGAAACTCCGATTAAGAAAAAAGAAGATCAGAACAATGCGGCACAAAAAAACCGGGCCCCTTCTCTGTGTTCTATCAGCTGTCCTATGCCATGAAGGGTTTCAGGAACATCTGTGTGGATGTCCAACTCCACGCAACCCAGCTGCATCCATCCGCCTCCCAAATAGCTTCCCCTTAGTCTCAGGGATGTGCACACAGGTGACGCAGTTAATCCTCAGGAGAACAGACTGGGGAAGACAGCCAGGCAGTCCCTGGATGCATGGCCAGTGCCATCTAGGGAGCAAATTCCATGGTCCCAGCTTTCTAGAATGTGAGCTGAAGGAAAGGGGTCCAGCGTGGAAGAGTGATCAGTGTGGGCCCAGAGCAAAAACCCCTACTGGTTGGGCGTAAGGGTGGTCTGTTATCTACAAATACACAAATGCACATGTATTAGGTCAGTTAAACAAATGGTTATCCACCCTGTCGAATTTGGAGAATTATTTTGAGTCAATTTGAACCAGTACTGTAAATTATAGGGTAAATGCTAGTGGATGAGCAAATTAACATCAGCTATAAATAATACAAGTGTAAAAATATATCTGAAAATGATGAACAGAATAACCAAAATGAATGAATCTAATGACAAAACAAGCTCTGAATATTTTGCTCGGGGAACTATGGGTAAGTACTTATAGAATTTAGCTCAAATGGAGCCAAAATGCATGAAAGATTTTACTTTTTATTTAAGTAGGTACTATCCACCTTCATAAATGTAACCATCATATTATATCTAAGAGTCTAAATATATTCAGGCAATGTAGACGTAAAGCTAACTGACCAAGTTTTGAAAATAGGTCTATAACATTGTGATTAGATCAGACTTGTTTTGAGTGCTAAGATAAGCGCTCAAAATATACTTTTATACTTGTAACTGGCAAAGCATTTAAAAGAGTCAGACATTACTTAGCGACTAAACAACAACATCAAAACTAATACTAATCATCAGGTGAAAAACATCCCCTACTGACTGACTGATCCTCCAGCAGGAGGGGGACAGCCTGATAACCTGAGAAGCTGCTACTGGCAAAGCCCAGTCTTCAGGGGACACCTGAAAACGCACTCTTCCAAGTTACTGGTTTCATGGTTTCCAACCATGATCTCTTGGACCCTGGGTTTTCACAAAGATGCCTCAGTGACTGTGAAGAAAAAGGGAACTCAAGACCTGGACCTGTAAGTATCAGGGGACAAGTGTGGCTCTGCTCCGGGTGTGCTGCTATTCACTAGATGCTGGGAAAATCAGGGGAAGGAACAAGTATTGTAGGCTTAGCATCCCTGAACCCCCCTGAACTGGTTCTGGTGGAGAAAAAGAGGAGAGTCAGACTGAGAAGAGAGAAGACCAGGGAGTAAAAACATTATACAACAAGTCCGTTCTCTGTGTCTGCATCTCTCTCTATCCCTGCCCCACAAATAGGTTCATTGGTACCACTGATTCTACATATATGCATTGATATACAATATTTGGTTTTCTCCTTCTGACTTACTTCGCTCTGTATCACAAGCTCTAGGTTCCTCCACATCACTACAAATGACCCAATTTTGTTCCTTTAAATGGCTGAGTAATATTCCATTGTATTTATGTACCACGTCTGCTTTATCCATTCATTTGTCAATGGACATCCAGGCTGCTTCCACGTCCTGGCTGTGGTATATAGCGCTGCAGTGAACACGGGGGTCACTGGGGTCACAGGGGAGGAGGGAGAAGGGAGACAAATAGAGTAGCACTGACATATACACACCACCATCTGTAAATCAGATAGCTAGCTGCTATGCAGCACAGGGAGCTCTGTGCTGACCTAAATGGATGGGATGGTTGGGGGCTGGGAGGGAGGCTCCAGAAGAGGGGTTATAAATGTATCACTTCTGGCTGATTCACAGCATTTTATAGCAGAAAAAACATCAACTTGTAAAAAAATTATAGTCCAAATAATTTAAAAAATTAATTTAAAAAATTAAACTAAAAATACTATATGACCATCAAGTCAATTTTTAATACAGAAAAATTTAAAAGTTGGAGGCGCTGAAGAAGTGGCCAAATTTTATATTCATCCTCTCTAAATGAAGTATTTTATACTGTGTCAATGCTGATTTTAGATTCCATAAATGTTTCTCTTTTTTTTTTTCTCCTGCACTGACCTCAGAGTCTCTAATTTTATTGACAAGGGCAAACAACAGTCTTGCTGTATCTTCATATTTCCTGCTAATGATTATCAAAATCTGACATAAAAATATACCACTCTGTATTTAAATGAAATGAATAGAGTCTCATCAATTCATTGCAACTATTGAAAGATGAGAAGAAATTAGTGGAAAAACTGAGTTATTAGAAATACTTTAAAAAAGTAGCTTATTCATTATTTTCTAGTACATAGGAAAACACACATAAGACTAAAAAGTACTTTGGGACACTTTTTCTAAGTATGTGCTTAATGAATAGAAATGATCTCAGATCTCCTTGGATAAAATATTTCTGTTCAGATGCATAATTCTAAATGCTTTCAAAGAGTTCACTGTGGGCTTATCTTTTCTTTAAAAACATAAATCATACTAAGCTTATTTTTAAATGATTTTGAGAAGGCAGTCATTGTGTGTTAATTTGCTTTTTTCCTCACAATTTGCCTTTCAATTATTTCAAATTATGGGACTGAACAGAGGTTTTGATATATTTGTAAGACATTATTTTTCCCCTTTAAAAAAAATTTTATTTGAATGAAGTTACTTTACAATATTGTGCTTGTTGCTACTGTATAGCAAAGTGAATCAGCTATATGTACACATATATCCCCTCTTTTTTTGGATTTCCTTCCCCTTTATGTCACTATAGAGCACAGTAGAGTTCCTTGTGCTACATGGTAGATTCTGGGTAGTTACCTATTTCATACATCATGGTATATATATATGTCAATCTTCTGACATCTTTCGAAGCACTTTCACAGCATATGCTACATCAGAGTGCTAACAGATATATACTTACATGGTATATATGAGGCCATGGTTATAAGAAGAAAATAATAGTAGTCAAAAGAGACATTGTATTTATTGGGAAGTCTTATGGAGAACATTCCTGTTTTCTTCACATATGGTAAGGCAGCATATATTGTAAGAAGTTCACCAGCAACTCCAACAGGATATAAGATGATAAAAAAATTATATCTGGAGAAAGAAAAATCTGAGAATTATTTTTCTAGAATAATTACTGGGCTCTATAATTCTTTTGCTACTACTTTATTTAAGCTTAAAAATTCTCCTTCCTATATACTTATATTAACCTCACATAAAAGGTTAATTTTTTCTACTTTAATCATTTGCTTTGTAATTTAATTATTGTCACTTTTTTTCTTCTAGCAGTTCCCATTTTAAACAGCAAGATCTTAATAAAGTAAGAAGTCAACTTACTTTATATGACTGAAATAACTATACACTTGAAAGTCAATGATTGATTGATGCAGTTTTTTAAGTATGATAAACAATACAAGTATTTATTACAGTCTATTGTAAAGTAAATATAAGCATTGTAAGATATTGTAAAAGTAACTGCTTGGACACCTAGAATCATACTGATTGATTTTTTTTCCCTGCAGCTAGTCATTTGTTGATCCAATGCTATGTTTTTAAAAGGCCAGTTATGATCCTAATTTTAGATCGAAATTTTGAAACTGCCAAAATAGTTGTTTGGAGGCATTCGGAAAACCCTATGTGGTTATTAATTAAAAGGAACTCCTATTTTAGAAAACTGATAAAAACCATCTGAAGCATCATCAATAACTGCTAACCAACATATTATCTAAAATTGCTTTTATGATAAAACAAGGAAGATAGGTCATTTCCTGAATCTGCATATTAAAGGAATAGTTAGCTTGCTTAAAATGGAGCTGAGAAAGTTCTAGCCAAAATCCAAATCACAGTTTCTTCATTTGGATTGCAGGTCGTCCTCTCACATACACTGGGCCCACAAGTGCCTGGCATCACTTCTGCCTACAGTTAGAGGTACCTTGTGAAGTCTCTACTGGTGGACCAACAGGACAGCCTCAAGCACCCCAGGTAATAACATTTCTCCATCAAAAAAAAATCAGTTTTCTCCAAGTCAGTTGCTCTATAATAGTTATCACAGAAGTTAAGGTCAAAATTTTGGTGGAAAAAGAAAGCAAGCAAATTGAGCTGGATTTTAATCATTTTGTTGGGATTAAGACATATTTGTAAAGAGAAGTCAAATGTGTGAATATGGCAGGAGCTTGGAGACAACTTAAAAGTCGCCTTACTTCTATGTGCCAAGGATATGTATGCAAAGACAAGAGATGACAGAGGAGGAGAGGAGAATTATTTGCCAAAATAGATGAACTGGTAAAGAAAGAAGAATGATTCTTCAATGGTCCCCCCATGCCCCGTCCTTGCCTTGTGCGTGGCACCTCTCTCAGCAGCCTTGTGTTGTTCTGTGTATATCCCTTAAATCAATCTTTTCCTATCTCAATTTAAAAGCACATAACTGAACATTTTATATTCCTTTCTCAATTAAGACACTCAAATTTCAGTGTTTTCTTAACTTTATGTGGCTCTCAGATGACGTTTTTTGGGTAGGACTGTTCTTTAATTGAAAAAAAAAGTAACTCAGAGTAAATTAAGTTAAAGTCATAAAAACAGTAATTATTTTCAATGAAATAAGGAGAAATTACATAATTTATTTGACTTTATTTGCACTTTAAAAAGGCTGTACGGCACCAATTCTCTAAGTTCTGACAGCAGCATGAGTGATTTAACTAATATTCCAAAAAAGATATGATGCTTCCTTACAGATTCCCAACTGTCATCAGAAAATTTTTGAAAATAAAAAGAAATCCGTATGAAAACATAACAATGTACATTTATCTATTCAGTGAGCTTTTCTAGGAACACTTTTGACAGATAAATAGAATCAAATCACTTCCAAATATCCAAATCATCATAGTAGGGCAATGCTTTATAAATAAGAAGCCATTTTTAAAGTGAAGTTTTATTTAAGAAAGGCTTCAACATTTGAACATAAATATAAATGCTATTTTAGGTTAGTTTAATGGGGTGGGCAAATACCTATAGGTGTTTGGGATCTTTCTGAGTTTTTACATGAAACATAATTATTCATGACTATGATGAACTGACGTGATGTATTATGTTAAAATATGCATTTCAAAGTTGAAAGATTTTACAGAAACCTGTTTACCATTAAGGCAACTGACAAAGGATTTCTGACAGCAAATTTAAACATGCAATGGTAGAATTTTGAACTTTCCCAGAAATTCAAGACATGCAAATGCATTCTAAAAGGCAGACAAAATAGTAAAGACCATTACCTTCCACAAACAAATTTTATAAATATAGCAAATAAAAAAAGACTATATCTTGAATTAGTATTATGAAAGGTGCTGGAGGGTCTGAAAGACTGAGGTCATGCAAAATGGCAGTGAGTCACATTCTGGGATTAGCATCCAGCCACATTCCAAACCGCTAATCTTGTGAAAGGCCCAATTGCTAGAGTGATTAAATTTTCTGGTACAAGAAAAATAAAACCAACCAAACGCTTATAAATGGTAGTGCAACCTTCAGCAGATAAAATGTTTAAGCTCAAATTATAGTTTTAAAGCCTTATTTTATATACAAGGGCTTCCCTGGTAGCTCAGCTGGTAAAGAATCCACCTGCAGTTCAGGAGACTCCAGTTTGATTCCTGGGTTGGGAGGATCCCCTGGAGAAGGAAATGGTTACCCACTCCAGTATTCTGGCCTGGAGAATTCCATGGACTGTAGAGTCCATGGGGTCACAGAGTCAGACATGACTGAGCGACTTTCTTTTACTCACTCACTTTATATACAAAATGGTAAACCACAAAAAAAGAGCTAGAGAATATTAAAAAGTTTGAAAGGATATATATTGATAGTATAATTAACAGTAATTATCCTTTATAAGGGGAATATAGACAATTTTAAGTTTTTATTCTTAATTGGAAAAGTGTTAGGTTTTTAGTATATGGTAATCAAAAACAAGTCTGACACTAGATATGAATTACCTTGATATTAGCTATACACTAATACCAGAGTTTGTTTAAAAAATAACAGAAATATGGATATAGCATTGCTTTGATATCACAAAGCAGTATTTAGAGTATCGAAAAACCAGAAGTAATTTAAATTCTGGCAATAAAGAACTGAGTCATTCATCCTACGGAATATGATGCAGCATTAAGAGACAGAGAGCAAGCTCTAAATGGACCTGTACCAATTTAAAAAAGAAAACAAGAGCTCCAATATATAAACAAAAATCAAGTATCATGTCATTCATTTATTTTTCAAAAACTCACATCTGTGTGTTCCCACTGTTAATAAGAAAAAGTCTGGATGGTAAACTCCCAACTTTCTCCAGGGGGAGGGCAGGGCAGTCAGGTAGGAATACTAACAGAACTTTCGATGTTTATTATATAGACTAAAAACTGTTTGTGTTTTTTATAATGAAAACATACTACTTTTGTAGCTAAATTTTAAAAATTTAAAGATTGAAGATACCATCAAACTCTTTTATCCTACCTATGTGGGATATCTATCCATCTATCTACCTATTAAGGGCTTTCCTGGTGGCTCAGATGGTAAAGATGCTCTGCCTGCAATGCAGGAAACCTGGGTTCAATCCCTGGAAGATTGAACTGGAGGAAGACTGAACTCCAGGAAGATCCCCTGGAGAAGCGAATGCTACCCATTTCAGTATTATTGCCTGGAGAATTCCATGGACAGAGGAGACTGGAGGGCTACAGTTCATGGGGTCGCAAAGAGTCAGACACAACTAAGCAGCTAACACGCTTCATCTATCTATTAATATCTATCTATTGTCTATCTATCTACCTACCTACTGGGTTGGCCAAAAACCCAAAAGAACTTTTTGGCCAATTCAGTACATAGCCATATATGGGACGGACATCTCTTACCCTAACAGCCTACCTGCATTTCTCCCCACTCGGCGTTTCTCACACCTGTTAGTCATTTTATTTTTTTCTCTTGCATCAGGACAGGACAGAGATTTTGCTGTCCTCACACCTGGGTATGTTATTATTATGACTGTTATTTCTGATTATAAGTATGTCGAGAATGAAATGAACAAATCTATGCTGGTTTGTGATTTGTTCTCCAAAGAGCAGTCTTGTTTTTATAATAATTCTGTAAAATATCAGCTGCTCAAGAATGCAAATTTTAAAAAGGACAGAATATCTTTTATTTTAAAAACTGTTGCTTTTGGAGAGCTATATTTAGAACCCTTGAAATATAAATGTTGTCCTCCTTCCAAATAATACAATTCCAAATAGGGATGACTTTTAAAAACTGTCTGTATCTGCTACTTAATACACACACAAAGCTGACATTGTATATACAAGATACTAAAAGTGTGGATATGACATAGGCTGAATATTAAGTTAATGACTGATTGATGTAAGGATCACTTTTAGCAATTACAAGAACATTTTGTATTTAACTCAGTGAAAGTCCGTCATATTAAAAAAATTTCTAGGTGCAGAATGTTTCCAATAATTTCTTTAATATCCATTTTGTTTCTAAAGCTCACCTGTTTTATAGTTTATTTTTAGTGTTTTAGTTTATTTTCCTAACTTTGTTTTGTAGAATATAGAGTTTGTGAGCTGTCAGAAAGAAAATTTTAGTCAATCAGACAAAATGCCGTATTTTGGGTCAAGAGTTGATTTAATATAATTCCATAGATGTATATCTTGCTTTCAAGGAAAAATGAATGACCAGTTAGGAATTTATTTAAGGATACTAACATAATTTGTCTGGCACTGCTTTCACTCAAGATATATGTTAATATGACTGTTCCCTAGTCATTAAATTAAGCCTTTAGAATGCAAGTTATATACTGCTAATATCCAAAACGGCAGCCTCCTAGCAACACTCGGCTAAGACACACATTTTAATTTTCCGTGTTAGCTCAGCACACAAAACACGCATGCGCAGCACCATGAGCAACGAAACTGCAAGACATCATCGCCACCTGGCCCATTTAATGAAGTATGGCAAGTGGTCGAGAAGACTGAATGTGTAGAAGGAGTAGCGAGTGATCTCTGTCACCGTCCACGCGACCAGAAAAAGCACCACACTCTCCTCATTCTGGATCTGTGGAATTACAGAGAAAGTCACAAGTTCGTTGAACTTCTTTCTCCATGAAGATTTTTTTTTTTCATTATTTACTACGTGCCTTTTGTTATAATGGAGACTTAGGGTTAGAAAGATGCAATACAGACAACTCAATGCAGTCACCATTACCTAGGTCTTTACCAATATCAGATTTAAACATGCCATTAACAGAGGAATGGCTGAATTTCTACTGGGTCCTCTCTGTCCCCTTTTGCTCTAGCTAATAACTCAACCATCCCAGGACAATATCAGCCTCTCAGAACCAGTATGCACTGTCTAGAACAGCGTCTCTTTTATTTGATTGATCTCTTTTATTTATCTGTTGGACTCCTGCTCTTAAATGACAAGGCAATCTGAATGAGGGCCTGATTTTGTACGTGTACATGTGTGTCCACTGCCATCTATATGGCGGGCACTGGCTAGGGACCAGGTGGACTGAGTCAGCTGAATGAAAGATTCTAGTCGAGAGGGTTGAAGTGTAGAGCAGTAAAGGGCAGAAGGTCAGCAATCTGTCCCCATGCAGACTGGAGGCCATGAGCCCAGCAGGCCGTGGAAGGGAGGTTATGTGTCACCACAAGCAGACAGGACAAGTCAGGCATCTGAGGAAGGAGAGGAGGCCAGAGAGCTGTCTTCAAGTAGACAGGAGGCTCCAGAGGCTGTCAAGAAAGTCAGCAGGGCCCATGTGGGAAATGCTTCTGTCACGGGTTTAAAAGGCCCAATGGCTTGAAATGCTAAACATGGTGTTTGTTTGTCTAAAAGGCTTTAAGCCATTAATTGGACTCAAGTCTCTCTCCTGTCATGCTTCAATAAGTAGCAAGCTTATTTCTCTCTAAGTTCCTTAACCCTCCTAACTTTTAATTGAGTCTTTTCCAAGTATTCAATGCTACAGAGCTAGATTAACTGTGTCTCTAGCTACAATGCTTGATGCTAAATGAGGAAAAAGGAACTGTCTATACTGACAACTTCAATTACATAATCAAACACAATACACAACTTCAACAGAAAAGAAAATTCTCATTTCACTATGTGACAGAATAGGAACATTCTACTTCATTTTATTTTACTTATTTTTTTAATTTTTATTTTATACTGGAGCATAGCAGATTAACAGCGCTGTGATGGCTTCAGGTGCATAGTAGAGCGACTCAGCCATACATAAAAATGTATCCATTCTCTCCGAAACTCCTCTCCCCCTCCAGGCTGCCACATAACATTAAGCAGAGGAACACTGATTTTAAAAACTGAAAAACTCCAGAGGAGAGTATATTATGGCTATAAAAATGCCAGTTTGGGGGTTTGCAGGTGTTTCAAAGCCATTCTATGCATGTGCTAAGTCAATGTACAATCCCACTGACATCCAAACCCAACCCTTCTTTGGCCAAGGGTTCTGCTTCCTGAAATATAGTCAGGTTAATATTTTGGGTTCCTGTTAATAAGAAAGCTTTCCTGCTGGCTCAAGTAGACTCAAGTAGACCAGTGTCACTTACTGGTTTTATACTGTGAGTAACGAGCCACACCATGAAGATTCTTGAACTCACTTGGACCCCAGCCACAAGCACAGAAGTAGGTACAATTCCTTAAAAAGAAAAACAAGTCAACCACTGCCCCAAATGCAATCTCTGCCGAACATAAAAAGCAAATTAAAAAAAAAACTCACCAATTAAACAATGGACTATCTGTAAGCAAACAAACAAAAAAATCACATGTCAATAGCATAAAATAAATCCCTGCCACCACTAGTTTTAAGTGAATCTATGGGGAGTAAGTAATAAGCAAAATAAGACTGATTCTGCTTTAACAGACATATTTTCAAATAAATATGATATAAAAACAAGCATCATCGCAAACTTACCTCAAGCAAGGCAAATGTCTGGAAAAATTTAAGTGTCTTCTGAATACTTTTATATAAACCTTTGTGTGTTCCTTTTTCCATGTAAAAACGTACCATGGCAATAGCCAGTACCAACCACCTAGAGAAAAGAAAAGCATTTTATAAAGCTCTATCAGAATGAAGTCTCCTGAATCCTGAAAAGATATGTCATAACTTATACAGTACTAGCATGTATGTGTTAATATGCTCAGTTCATTATTCTATTTTCAAAAACCCATAGGAAGAGATAACAAACATCATTTTTACATTGACTCTTCAAGGAAATAAACAGGAGTGGGTAGCCCTTCCCGTCTCCAGGGGATCTTCCCAACCGAGGAATCAAACCTAGGTCTCCCACATTGCGGGCAGATTCTTTTACCAGCTGAACCACAAGGGAAGCCCAAGAATACTGCAGTGGGTAGGCTGTCCCCCAAACCAGGGACCAAACCTAGGCCTCCTGCATTGTAGGCAGATCCTTCACCAGCTAAGCCACAAGGGAAGCCCAAGAATACTGCAGTGGGTAGGCTGTCCCCCAAACCAGGGACCAAACCTAGGCCTCCTGCATTGTAGGCAGATCCTTCACCAGCTAAGCCACAAGGGAAGCCCAAGAATACTGCAGTGGGTAGGCTATCCCTTATCCAGCAGATCCTGAATCGAACTGGGGTCTCCTGCATTGCAGGTGGATTCTTTACCAACTGAGCTATCAGGGAAGCCCGTATTCAAGATCAGCTACATACAGATGTCAAACAATGTGCCTTGTATTTTTGGTTTCAGCAGATAAAGTAACAGACTGAAGTAGGTTTCTCTACCAAAAATGAAGTTATTATAAAGTAGTTCATAATTATAATAAGATTTGATGTAAAGAGCTATGTGTATATAAATATGTATTTTATACAAATATATAGTTATAAGTAAAAGTCGTTAATAAGAACCATTAATGTTTTCATAATTTCCATTAAATAAAAACAATTGTGAGGCCGCAGAAGGAACACATATAGAAGGTCAGATGTAAACCTGCTTTTATAAGCTTTATAAAAACTTGTATTTATTCATTTATTTTTTATTTTTGGCTGTGCTGGGTCTTTATTTTCCAAGCAGGTTTTCTCTAGTTGTGATCAGGGGCTACTCTCTAGTTGTCGGGCACGGGCTTCTCATTGCACTGGCTTCTCTTGTGGAGCATGGGCTCCAGAGCACAGGTTCAATAGTTGTGGTGCACAGACCTAGTTGTTCCACGGCATGTGGGATCTTCCCAGATCAGGGATTGAACCCATGTCTCCTGCATTGGCAGGCGGGCTCTTTACCAATGAGCCACCAGAGCAAGCCCCAAGCCTGCTTCTAAAACCAGTGGTTAGCAAGTGGGAAAGGGAAGGGGAGAGGGATAAGACAAGAATAGGGGGTTAAAAGACACAAACTACTATGTATAAAATAAACAAGGAACAAGGATACATCATATGGCACAGGTAAATACAGCCATTGTTTTATAATAACTTCAAATGGAGTATATTCTATAAAAATATTGAATCACTATGTTGCACACCTGAAACTAATATTGTAAATCAACTATACTTTTTTTAAAAAGGGTTCATTTCCAAAAAAAAAAAAAAAAATCACATCCCCAGCCCCTTCAACTTGGTGGTGGTTTAGCCACGAAATTGTGGCTGGCTCTTGTGACCCCATGGACAGTAGCCCACTCAGCTCTGTCCACTTACACATTAAATGTAGTTGTGGTGAATTAATGGTACTTACAAACACAAATCAAACCTGTGGACACCAGCTTTCTCACAAGTCAGATACTCAATCTCCAAGAGTCCCTGATAAGAGTTGTTTTTTCCATTGCAATTACAAAAGCACTTTGAAGTTTAAAAAAGTTGCATCACCTGTAACTTTTAAACATCTTTAATAATATACACTCATGGAAATGAATAGCTGCCCCAGGCTTTCAGAAACAGTGGTCTCCAAAGTGACTAGTAAATGGATTTATGAATTACAAAATTATTACACAGTTTTAACTTTTTAATTAAAAAGCACTCATAAAATAGACAAGTGGCTTAAAGGTGCCTGTGAAGAAATGACTGATTGAGTGGGATGAAAAGCAGACTCAATACAACAGTGAGAAGCACTTCAACCTTGGGAATGTTCCCTCCTCAGCACAGAATGAGTAAAGAACAATCACTTTCTAGTGAGAATGACATGAAATCAGGCAAACGTCTGGAACTATCACAAAGACCATTGAAATGTAGAAGTATTAAGGTAGTAGCAAGTACACTTTTGGAGTGTTTTCAATGTTCTAGACACTGTCCTATCTATATATGTATATATATAGTTAAAATATTAATATTTCATTCTCACAATAACCCTATGAGGTAGCAACTACTATTATCCTATTTCACTGCTGTGGAAATAGGAGAAAGGGCCATAGAGCCAGTTAGCTGGGACCTGAACCCACCACTCATCTCAGTCTATGCTTGTCAACTACCCCGCTGCACTGGTTGGGCCCTAAGCATACACTGAGCCTGGTGCATTGTCCTTAGTCGCTCAGTCATGTCCAACTCTTCGCAACCCCGTGGACTGCAGCCTGCCAGGCTCCTCTGTCCATGGGATTCTCCAGGCAAGAATACTGCAGTGGGTTGCCACAGCCTCCTCCAGGGGAATCTTCCCAACACAGGGATAACCCAGGTCTCCTGCATTGCAGGCGGATTCTTCACCATCTGAGACACCAGGGAAGCCCAAGAAGACTGGAGTGGGCAGCCTATCCCTTCTCCAGGGGATCTTCCCGACCCAGGGATCAAGTGGGTGTCTCCTGCACTGCAGGGAAATTCTTTACCAGTTGAGCTACCAGCCTGGGGATATTAGCTAATCATAAAAATACATTTAAATTGTAGTAATTTTTAAAGTTATACAAAGTGTTACACTCAAAGATATTTCAGCTGATAGTAGTATGCTATCAGGAAAGTTTGAAGGCCATTGTTCAATACAAAGTAATCACCATGCAGAGACATCTAAGGGCTTACCCTAAGGCTTAGAGTAAGTTCATGGTGGAGGTCTTTTAAAGCCCATTGCTTTTCTATTTTTACTACCATGGCTTCCTGGATTCAGCTCATGGTTTCACCCCACATGGAGCCAACACTCAATCCTGTGCTGGGTTCATCTGAGTGTGCTCATCTGAAGGATGTTTTAGGTACCTTCCAGTTGTAAAATGTTATGATTTTCAATATCTTCAATTCCAAGGCCTTATATGACTTCGAATAAGAAAACAAGCTCCATAAGCTGTTTTAATTCGGAGCTTCCCTGGTGGCTCAGGGTAAATAACCTGCTTGCCAATATAGGAGACACGGGTTTGATCCCTGGGCCAGGAAAATACCACATGCACAGAACAAAAATTATTACCCTACCAAAGAATTCATCAGAAGATTCATCGAGATGATAAGTTTTCTATATTTTTAAAAGCATGATACAAAAATCCAAGCATCATTAACAGTAACACATTTTATTGTTGTCCCATAGGTGGCAGTATTGTACCAACTGTTAATAGTACAGCATTAGGAGAATATCACCACTAACCTGTTGGAAATAAAAGAAATGAACACTCTAGGGTTATAAAGGACCATGCAACCATCTGTGCTAACCTCTCACCTGTTTTTCAATAAATACAGCCAGAAGCTCATCTGAACTAATCCATTCTCACCTCCTAAGCTCTCCATCGCAAAGGGTGAGGATCAAAATTTCTTTTAAGGGCCCTACATTTAAGTAACCTTGGACTGCTACATCCATCAGTTTAGTCATTATAATTTTAAATATTTCCAGAAGCAACTAGAGCTCCTACAATTCGGAATTCTTTTCTGGAAAGTTTTCTTAAAAAATATTTCAGAGCTATCAATTACACAAATACGAACCCAGACACTTTCAGTCCTTAACAAAACACTCTCTTTGGAAAATAAAAACATGTGTTCCACATGTAGAAGGTTTCTTACTTGCTTGATTCATTTATTTATTCATTCAGCTTCAGTATCAACATTTATTGCTACACCAGGTACTGTGCTAGGTCCTGGGGAATTAGAGATAAGACATAGTTCTAGTAAGTGGAGACAATGCAACAGTGCAGCAAGGAAAGAGATGTATAATTTCCTAAATACCTTATGGCACTCACTAAACTCCTCCTTCTCACGCACTATGGCTGTGATGACCCGAAAAAGTCTTACTGAAGGTAGAGCTCTCTTTTCCAGATGTCTTCTGGTGCCTCTTTTTCTCCTTATATCTCTTGGAGACCACCTGCTTTTTTAGGAACTTGGTTATCTACACCTATATCTCCTATTTTTTTAAATTTCAACACTACTTAAAAAAAAATTTTATAAACAACTTCAAACATATACAAAGGTGTAGAGCATGCATGAAAGGTGTAGAGCTGAAACTCCAATACTTTGGCCACCTGATGCTAAGAACTGATTCACTGGAAAAGACCCTGATGCTGGGAAAGACTGAAGGCAAGAGAAGGGAACGACAGAGGATGAGATGGTTGGATAGCATCACTGACTCGATGGACATGAGTTTGAGCAGCTCCGGGAGTTGGTGATGGACAGGGAAGCCTGTTGTGCTGCCGTCCATGGGGTCACAAAGAGTCGGACACGACTGAGTGACTGAACTGAACTGAGAGCATGAATGATACTATGACCCCTGTTCACCACTGCCCTGCTTCAACCAGTACCATCTTTTAAATTCTTTTTTAATTCATTTTATTTTTTGACCACAAGGTATGTGGGACCTTAGTTCCCTGATCAGAGATTGAACCTGTGCCCCCTGAAGTGGAAGCACAGAGTCTTAACCACTGGACCACAGGAAGACCCAACCAGTATCATCTTACAAATAATTTTGTTTCATCCAAACTTCTATTCACTTCTCTCCCTACAAGCCTTCCTCTCTGATTATTCTGAATTAAATCTATACATCCTATAATATGATTGATAAATGCTTAATGATGTATTTCTCAAAGGTTTATTTTCCATAAAGAGAGCCAAAACACCACTATCCCATGTGAAGAATTTAATGAGAACTTCTTCAATCACAAAATTTAGAGTTAAGACACAACTGTCTCAGAATTTTTAA